CTAAAGATACCCCAAAGTTGCATTTGGAAGGGTTGAGCTTCATCTGATATTTGTGCAAAATCCCGAATGTCTCTGTCAGGTCGGCTAGGTGCAACCTAGAGAGTTTGCTCTTAACTAGCATGTCGTCCACGTATACCTCCATATTGCAACCAATCTGATTGGCGAACATTTTGTTCACCATCATTTGATATGTTGGGCTAGTGTTTTTTAGGTCAACGACATGACCTTATAACAGTGAAAGCCCTTATCGGTTATGAATGAGGTGTGAACTTGATCTAGAACTTGACTTTTTTATTTGATTGTATCCAGAGTATGCATCCATGAAGGTAAGCAGCTTGTGCCCGACCGTAGCGTCTACGAGCTAGTCGATCCTGAGAAGTGGAAAACAGTCTTTTTAGTAGACCTTGTTTAGATTAGTGAAGTCTGCACACATTTTCCAATTCACATTGGATTTTTTTTAACTAAAACTACATTAGAGAGCCACACGGGATACAAAACTTCTCTTATATATTTAACTTTAAGCAATTTGTTTACTTCCTCAACAATTACATCATTCCTTTTTTTATTCGTAGGTTTTCTCTCCTGCTATATGATGCTTTGGCTTAAAGTTCTTGCTTTCTTATCCCTAGTTGATTATTTTGTTTAGTTTTGAAAGTTGAGGACCAAATCGAGGAAAAGAGCACAGGATCCAGAGAAGAGTTGTTGAAACATCTTTTAGTAGCCTAAAGGGTTGGAGCAATTAGTTGCTGGCGCATGGGTTCACAATGCAGTAGTTGTCCAACACGCGGATATTTTACCATGTCATACAAATTCCAACCAGGTGCCCTAAAATTAGGGCCCAGCATAAAAGGGAAAGGAGAATCTAGCCGATACACACAAATCCCAAGAGAGAACATTCCTTGCGTGCTGAAAAAGACAAGAAGAGAATCACTCCATTTTTGGGAAGAAAGCTGACGTTTGAAGGACGAAGCTACTAGTTTTTGCGTGCTAGTGCATTGTTCATTTGTGATTTTGTCTTCTTCCTTGAAATGGGTTGTATCTTTTGCTTACACATTACGCTTTCCCCCTCCCCCATGAACTAAACCTCATTTCAGGAGAGATTTCCATGTTGTAACTTTTGAACAATCGATACTCTAGCTAATTTCCTCATGTTGTTAAATAGAGCTATGTTTATTCTTTCATCTTCATGAGCATTGTTGGCCACCTTGATTAGTTTGCTAGCTTCTACATGATTTGGAACGATGTATATTAATATAAGCTGGTATATTTGTGGATTAGCTACTTTTTTTTTATATAGTAGGTCTATGGTTACTTAGGAATGGGGTCCTCTAACCATTCTTAGTACTCGTTTTTATTGCTTGGGTATTTAGCAACAGGAGTTGTTGGTATTCATGTTTGGGTTCTCAGAAGGGAACCGTGTCATGTTGAGCAACAACATCGAATTCATGCTAGAGTATAGGCTGAGAGCGTGTGAAAGCTAAGGAATCTTCCCTGTCTTTCCCATATCTGTTATCCCCTCTTTGATTAACTATGCTAGAGCTTTTTATTGCCCCAGCGTCTGTAGGTTGTGTTCATTTCTTGGAATCATTTATAGTTTTTGTTTATGATACATCATTTTACAATTTTTAGCACAAATCACTATATTTTTACTTTTTACTTTTTGCATATTTTGTGTTCTTTAGCATAATCTTAAAATATTACACTAAGCCCATGTGGATTTGACCCTGTTCGTACTACAATTGACGAATATAGTCTACACTTGCATTGATATTCACCTCAATTGTTAGCATGCAACACTTGCATGTCATCTTGTTCAATCGTGGTATAAAGGTCAATGTAATGCCCTCTGGTGTGACTGTTCTCCTGTGAATCCGACTAGAGCGGTCGGACTATTCTTCAGCTGTGCCCTGGTCCACCCCAAGGAAACATAGGTCGTTAGAGATAAAATGTTGGCCAAAGCTCTGTCATCAACAAGCACCCTTCTAACCTGGACATGATCAATCATGAGGGAAATTATTAGGACGTCGTTGTGAGACAAATGGACGCCCTCCAGGTCGACGTCTGAGAATGAGATTGGGCAAATTAGTTTTTTCACTTGAAAGACACAGATTTCGTGTTTGGCCTCCCTCACCAATTCCTTCCTTTTATTTTCATATTGGCCTCTACTTAGGCTATCGAAGATAGTATTGATGATACCAACTCCTTCACTAATCCTTTTTCTTTGAAGATCTTGAACTGCATTGAATTTTTTGAGGTATCCATCTTGAATGAGATCTCCAATCTGGCGTTTGAGCTCGTAACAAGTCGAGGTATCATGGCCATGATCTATGTGAATGCGAAAGTACTTCCCCTTATCACGCTTATCCGAATCTCCTATGAGCTTGCTGGGATGTTTGAGCTACTTCTTCATCCTGATCTCCTCTATGTTTGTGAGAATCTCAGATATTGAAATTGTCATGGGGGTATACCTTTCGTAAAGTCGGCCTCGCCATGTCCCAAAATCGAAACATCGGTAGTCGGAGCGACCGTGGGAGAACTGGAGTGCGGATCCCCTATCCCTTGATTTTGAATCTGAATTTCCTTCTCAGGGTGGTTAGATTTCTTATGGTTGAACTTCTTGTCTATCTGGCCCGTCTTTGTCTTGAACAGCTTTTGGCAGTCAATCACATTCTTGGGTTTTTGTAAGACCTCAGCAAATGTTGTTGGGGCTTCCTCACCTAGCCAGTAGTCAATAATTTGTCCGCCAGGCCGATCAAAAGTAGCACATCATAAAATCGTACGAGCAATAGGTGACTTTGAGTTGCTCCTTTTGGAACCTAGTCACATACTTTTTTAGTGTCTCTCCCTCCTTCTGCCTGATACTGGTAAGATAAGTCGCTGTCTAGTTGTCATAATGTCGAGAAGAGAATTGGCTGATGAACTCCTTTCTCAGCTGACGGTAGGTCGAGATTGACCTTGCTGACAACTTTTAATACGACAGTCGGGTGCTTCTAGTTAAGGCAATTTGGATTGCACGACATTTAATGGCATCAGTGACTGCTTGAAAGTCCATGAGACCATCAAAGACCTTCGCATAGTCCTATGGATCCATAGACCCATCGTAGGGCTTCATAGTCAGTGTCTTGAACTTGCTGGGAATCGGCGCATCCAAGACATCTTGAGTGAATGGTGATTCATCAAGTTCACCATCATTAAAGATGCTTTCTTTCTTTTCACATTTCTGTTTCAAGGCTTCAACCTGAGCCTCGAACTTGCCCTTCATCGGGTTGAACTCTTCCCTGGTGATCAACCCCTGAGGTTTGATGAGTGTGTAACGTGATTCGTACACGAGCGCGCCTATCCTTCATAGTTCGTACACGACCTTAGTTCCGTCAAACAACCATTTGTAGATGACCTTAGTTGCATTAATCAAATTATTGTATGACTTTTCCATATTTCGTACACAAGCGCGCCTATCCTCCAGCTCGACCTGAATTAGCTGTAAGTGTGTTGGGCTCGAGCTTCCACCCTACCTTCTTTGATATGATAATATTTGGCATGACGTCCTTGAACCACATCATGAGAAGAGGAGAGCACCACCGCACACTCAACTCCATAAAGTGTGCACCAACCATGCATGGACACACCCTATACATGCACAAAAATGAAGGGATCGGATCCTACAGCGGAAGCGCACGAACGCGTGTGCTTCGACCTTGTTTTAGAATTACAACAAAGAAAAGACACATAAACATGAATAATAAGAAGTTAGTGATACATACTTTTGAAGACACCTCTTCAATGTAGATATCAACGCCAACACAAAGTCTTCATCGCTCTCCTCTGGACGTTAAGAACTCATTTTGTGGGAACCGTCTTATAATTGAAAGGAAAATTGAGAAATCGATAGAGAGATTTTCTCGTTTAGAGTTTCAGAAACTCTATCAACCGACGTTCAGGAGGTGTAAAGGAAATGGGAGAGCCTCCCTTTTATAAGAAAGGAGGAGTGAGGGGGAAGTCACCACTTCCCCACTCACTTCACACTTCCCACCTTTAAGTGGGAAAACCTCCCCACTTTCCACCATCCTCACTTTCCACCATTAATGGTAGAAAGTGGGAGGTTTTCCTCCCATTTTCTTTTTCCTTTTTTTTCCTTTTTTTCTTTTATTTTAATTAAAACAATTTTAATTAAAATAATAATTTAATCTAATTTAATTAATTAAAAAAATAATTATTAATTTAATTTAATTAAATCTAATTTAATTTAACGAAATTAATATATCACATTAATTAAATTAAATTAAACTTAAATTAATCAACTATATTAGAATCAAATTCTAATATTCATGTCTCTCATAATTTTGAATCAAATTCAAGATTAACTTTATATTATAATGTATCAACATACATTTATATTAATTGCATCTCATATAATTAAACTTAATTCCCTTTAACTATTTTGAACAATTCAAATTCTTTTCAAGATTAACTGTTCTTAACTATCCTTTACGAGCTAGCAAGGGGACCTAGTGGACCTACAGATCGGAAGCTCCAACGATACGAGATTAATTGATTAAACTAATTAACAATATTAATCAACATTCGTTAACTGTCTGTCACTCTACTAAAGACCCACAGTTGCACTCTTCTCACTGTAGAATATTTTACGTCCATAGATTTTGACCATTAACGGTAAGTAAATCCTTCACGAGTGTTCGTAACCACAGCTGGATCAAATTATCGTTTTTGTAAGGACCGTTTGAAGTTAAAAAAATGAAGGAAAATTGGAATAAGGGCATTTTGGAAATTTCGCAAGAGAAAAAAATGGAAGTTTTTTTTTAGAAAAGCACGTGTGTGTGTGTGTTGTTGATTAGTGAAGGTGTGTGACAGGTGTTTTAAAAAGAAAAGAAAAGGAAAGGAAGGGAAAGAATAAATAAAAGAAAGAAAAATAAAGCATAAGAACGGAAAAAGGAAAGAAAAGAAAGAAATGTGAAGAAAAGAGAGAGACAACGAAGGAGAAGAAGAAAGAACAGGGAAGGGGAAGAAATCGAATGTGTTCGGCTAAGAAGGAAGGTAAGAGTTTTTTAAACCGGTTTGAGTTTTTTAAGCTTTATTTTGGGTAAGTTTCAGTGCCTTAAACCATGAAATTCTCGAATATAGACTCCTTTAATTTGTGGGTTTTGAGAATGACAAGTTATTTGAGGTTAAAATTGTGGTTCTTAGTTGAAGAAAAAGAAAGAAAAAACAGAGAAAGAGGATGGAAGAAAGGAAGAAAATCCGTGGGTTTTGGAGACAAAAGAAGAAGAAGATGAACAATTTTTGGAAGAGAGAGAAAGGAATTTTTTAATAGAATTTAATTAAGAAAAGTAAAATGAATTGGTAAAAGAAAGGGGGAAATCACGTGAGAAGATGAAAGGAGATAAATTCAATGGGTTTTGGTGGGACCCGCTTGTAAATAGTATGAGAGTGGAAAAGGCGGGTTGTTAATGAAGAGAGAGAATGAGTTATAAAATTGGATTTTTGTGGATTAATTTGGAAGATAATGTAATTTCAATTGGAAATAAGAATATGTTGAAGTTAAATTGGTTAAAGCAGGAATTAATTTGGTATTGAATCAATATTTTCAGGTCGAGCATAAATTGGAGCAAAGGACAACCGAGTTTAAAGGATTTGTGAGTGGTTACTTTATTAAGTGTTTTGGATATTATTATGGACTTGTGAGTGGTTATTTTATTAAATGTTTTTAGATATCTATTGATATAGAATTTATGAGAAATTATATATATTACATATGATTTAGCATTTGTGCTAAGAATGAAAGAAAATGGGTTTGTTCAAGAATTTAGAAATGTTTATGAGAATTTAGAAATGCTTTATGATTCCAAAGAAATGTTCGAGAAAGTTATGAAATATTATTTAGAAAGAGATTCAGAAAATGATATTAGAATTTAATGAAATGTGTTTAGAAAGAAAGATTTCATAAATGATTTGAGAAATTTAGAAATGTTCTTAGAAAGAAGAAAAGAAGAATTTTAGAACAGTTTATGAGATTGAGAAAGAAGTTTTCAAACCACCATGTTATTGTATCCAGGTGATTACCTGTATGCTATATGAATGTGTTTCTATAGTATACCCAGAAATAGAATGTCTTTTGGACCATTTTACTCAACGTGTTGAGAGAATTATTCTGCTATGCGTATTGAGATTACTCTATGCTAGTAGACCAGAATTATTTTGCTGTGTGTATTGAGATTACTCTACGCCAGTAGACTAGAATAGAATATGGATACATGTGTGGTGTTGAGTTTTATCGATCTGTTTTATGTATGGAAGAAGAATGTTTTATATGTTTTAGAATGTGTTTGATAGCAGGTTGAGAAGTTGGCGTAACTAGGTCGCAAGGGACGCAAGGGAATGCTGGGGCTATAAGAGCCAAATCCAGATTCCGAATCCTGGTCCGAATCCTTGAATTGAGAGCGTTTGCTTTTCAGTTTGCGTAGAAAGAAAAGTCTTGTTACAAGTTTGATCTTATTTGCTCAAGTTTTATGAGATTTAAATGAGAATGTTATTACTTCAGTTTTATGAAGTTTGTCTTAAAGAGCGGAATTTCAATTGTTTATGAAAGAAAGTTGACGAAATTATTTTCTTATTAACTTACCACTCACTGAGCTTCCCAACTCACTATTTATATTTTGTTTTCCCCCCCAGGCTGTACCTGAGTATCTGAGTTTATGAGTTTTAAGAAGAATTTAGTTCAGCTTCTGCCACTCAGGATAGTTCAAGAGTTGCATATCACTTTGTATGTAATTTTGTTGGTTTGTAAGAAATTTTATCTGCACCATATTGATAGAAAAAGAATGTATAGAAGGGATGTAAGAATGGTTGTTCTGTAAGTTTATTACTTTTATTTGTGCATCCATATTCAGAGTTTGTTAGTCAAGGTTCAAGTCAAAGGAAGAAAGAAGTTGACCATTAACTTCGCAGTTAGTCGGGGTCTGTGGTCGGCGCGACTCGTTCTAGGACTAGTAGGTGTTTTGGGAGGGTCGTATCAGTTTTACCCCTGTGTTACATCTTGTACCTTAAGTACCATTGATCCTCTAATGAACAACCCGGTTATGGCCCAACCAATAATTGAAAGTCTCTCTCGGGCTAGTGAGAGGGTGGGGCCCCTTGTTCAAGTCCCTGAGTCAGCACTTAAGAGAACACTCATCTACTTACCCTGAAGTCGGGAAGAAGTGAATTTCATCTTGTGTAATTATGTTTCCAACTCCCCACTCGATCTCGTCCCCAAACTGGTAGGCATATTGGGTCAGCTACTTGAGCCACTCTCACCCATACAAATCAAAGGACGAGCCTTAACAGGCAGGAGTCCATAACTCACTCGGGATTGAGATCGAGTTACTTGGTCATCCTATTGAAATATTAATCTATTAGCTAACGGTGTTATAACTAAAGATTAATTATTTCGTGGTCCGGTCTTATACAAACTTATTGTATAGGATACCTCCACTTGCATGTTTCCACACGAACGACTTAGATCAAGTCATTTGTAACTATTACAAAGTGGGCTGTATCCATAGTGTTATCAGGATAAGGTACCCAACCTTATCCATATACTATCGACCCTTTAGGTTACTACTGGAACATTATCCACCTATATATCAAATATATATTGTATATATATACAATGTATATCAAATATATACGTTGTATATTAAATATATACTGTATATCTGTTATATACTATTCCAATTGCATGACATAACCTCAAATGTTAGTTTATTGGATTTCAGTTAATGCAATTCTATCAATAACAATATTATTGAATGAATATTTGTTTTATGTATACAAACCACGAGTTTAAGGCATAAGACCCAACAGAAAACGCCCGTCGCGCGCGCGTCTACACCACCAACGGCGGGCTAACCTCACAAGGTGTTGCCCAACGCGCACCCGTCAACGTCCAGCTCGCGCACGCCTGCGCCCGCGCCCCCACCTACTGCCAGCACCCACACACTCTCGTCATGCTAACCTCACAAGAGGCCAACGCCCCCACCAGCACGCCGCCATCGGATGCTTGCCCATCACCTAGCTCGATCGTGTGTCGACACGCCTGTACCGCCAACACCTGAACGCCCCTACCACTTGATATCGTGCCACCCGCATGCCTACGCGTGCCAACTACCATGCCAGCCTCCCAACGCGGCTTGCTTGCCATCGCATGCACCCCCACCTACGCCTACGTGCGCACGCCCACTGCCAGCCCCTCATGGGCGCCATCCCCTTTGGCACAAAAATTGGAGTGTCTTGCCGCCCACTCCTTGACCAATTAGGAAAAGATTCACTTTTCTTATTTTTGGCAAACACTTGTGGGAATTATTATTTGCTTTAGATTTTATTTGTTTTATTGTATTCTTTAGTAAATATATCTTTTCATTTTAGGCAATATTTTACAACTTTAGGAATTTATCATTTTTAATTTACTTTTTAATTTTGTTATTTTCCTTAAAAGACCATGGGCCTTAGCCTATAAATAGGCTTGCACCCCTCTTGTATTTCACACCTTTGATTGATATTGAATAGAAAATTGAGAGTTGTTCTCACCCTTTGCCGTGTTCAAACCCC